TTTTTTTAAATTGACATATCGTCACGCAGAATTCACATCATCTTGGATTTCTTATCATCAAAAGATTGTCGTGCCCATCACTGGACAATAATTGTTTAATTCTTAGTTCAATTGCAAAACCTAGATCCCACCCAACAGGTGGCAAGTGTAAAAGGTTTGCTCAGACAGCATTTTTTCTTTGCCAACTGACATGCTCAACTCAACTTATTTTTCTCTTTGCAAGCTTCCATGATCAATAACAAGCATTTTCCCAACCGCTAATTTAGCGCAGCAGTGAAACGGCCGTAAATGCGTGTGAGCCAATGCAGAGGTACATCCATCATTATACATGTGTAAGACCACGTCACTTATGCAATTTAAAGCTGACCATGTGCTCGCGCGATTTTACTGTAAAGTAAAAGGACACCATCCACAGTACACAAGTACACGTGTACGAATTTCAACGGCTGGGGTATCGCACAATGAACGCGCCCCTCGTCAAACGCATGTACAACATAACAGTTGGTGGCCACCTATACCAATAGAAAGTCTCCCTTTCGTAAGAGCGTGCAATCGATTTTCATCGCGATCGAGCCGTGCGATAGCTTTCTTTTCTCGCACAAAATATGAGAGCGCGAGTATAGTGCTAAAGAGCAACAAGCGCGTGCTATACTTGAGCAATGCGTGCTCTTTTTTCTCTCGGGAGCAGGGAAGAGAGTATTTATATATGTATACTTATACGGGATGTACACAAATATATATGCATGCAGGCGCGCCGCTCCATTAAGTCGATGATCTTTGCTTGCTAAGTGCATTTTGTGACGCTCTTTTACTGCCATCGACGCTGAGTGTGTGCGTGCATATAAGTGTTATATACGTGTGTTTATCCGACCCTTGTCGTCTTTCGAGATATGATGGGCTTGTAGAAATGTTGTCGACTTTTTTGGAAGATATAGGAGGGTCGGCTGGTATTTGCATGTGGTACACTGTGATATTTTTTACATGTAGTTGAGAATGCGGTACATTTAGATTGTATTACTACAAACGCAATGCCAACAGTCATTTTTTGGTGATTAATAATATTAAGAAATAGATAAGAAACATTCACTATTTTTACAAGATATAACCTTAATCAAATATATTTATTGAACAATTATGAACAATGATATCAAAATCGAATGAGTCGTATGACAAATTGGTGATAAGCAATAAGAAAAAAATCTTGTGACAGAATTTAACAACCAATTAAATGCTTACTTGTAATTTATATAGGTACTAATGAGCAATTCAAATCATATAGATAAATTCGTAGGAAGCTTGCAATAATCAAAGATGAACTTGTGATAACGATAAATAGTGATAAACATGGATTGTAATAATACGATTAGTTGTGATTAAAATAATCAAAGTAATGATTATCAATAATAATAAATGATAGACTCACTTTTAATTCTACAAAACTTGTTATTTATAACCACTGATAAGTAATGATAAGTAAAATACAAGTAGAATAAAATTTTTATAAATAATGAGAATTCATAACAAGTGATGTTGATATGGTGTAGTTATTCTTAACATCAAAATGCAATCAACAAGATTTCAACAAAGTCTACTATACTTCAAGTATAAATAATACATTTTTTGGATTTTTGAGCTAATGTGTATACTGAAAATACAATATTTTTAAACTATGAACTTTTACGGAACAATACGAAAGCAATGTAACCAAATGTGTCTTTTTAATATTTTGTCACCTCTTGTTTGTCTAAATTTATAAATCAGAATTGAAAAAAAATTTAACATTACGATTTGAATGAGAAATAAGGTGTATTATCTATTTTATTTTTTTTAACTTTAAAGAAGATGATATTTCAGTCTTAGTCTTAAAGACAGTGCAATCTCTATTACTCTGAAAAACGTAGTATGTTAAATAGATTTTGATACAATACTTTATTCAAATAAAAACAACTAGATAGTACCTTGTACCATAGCTTGGGCTTTATCGATCTCGTAAAGCACTGAATGGGCAACAAAAATTGAGCTGAATAATTTTGTTCCAACAGGGTCTGTTTGAAGGTCATCAGAGTTCGTGTGTACACTTCTACTCGAAAAACGATACCTACCAACGTGACTCATAACAAAAAAAACTCGCCTACGTTTTTCCATTAGCCTACATACAGCCGGCTATCGCGATCGTACGAATCCGAAAGCAGGTATCATTATATCACTTGGCGATAGGGAATAATACGAACGTTAACTGGCCTCCTACAAGGTATCCATTGTTGAAATGATTCTGCGCAAAAGGCGTCGATTAGTTTTTAGAGTAATCGCAAGTCAGCCATGCTGTGATAACGAAACCATAACATATACACGTCTATACTCAGAAAAATCCAGCGTCATGCACGAAAACCTATCAGCATATGTCGTTCGCGTTAAAGCAACTTTGCTACGTATTACTTCAAGGTAGGAGTTTGTAAGTTCGCCTGTTCGTTCGCTCGTGCGTATGTTGTGTATATAGATACACTTAGGCGCCAGGAGTGAACCTATGAGATCGTTTACCGTAGGGAACGCTTCGGGATTGGTTGATTTTGTCAGCGACACCCGCCCACGCACAACACCATCAGCTGCCCCGCACACAAACTCATACTGATACTTGTTATACTTATAATACCCTCCGTTGTACACCAAGCCCATGAGAGTTGTTGCCACCTACACACAACGCCCGACCTTTTCACTTACTCTCTCTCTCCTCCTTCCCTTCCACCTCACGTAATGTACCGTAGTCGAACCTTCCACTTCTACTCTTCCTCCTCGTCCGCCGAGCGCACAGCCGCACAACGATGACGTCGACCACTGTACTCCCACGCACAGGGGGGTTCCCGCTGCTATACACTGGCTTATACCTTCAGATGCTCTGCCTGGCTTGTCAGGCTCTCAGCGTTAACGTCGGGCTGAAAATAAGTAGGTATGTGACTTCCGCCTCTCTTTTTTCCGTTCCACTCTGTCTCCCCACGGAACGACGACGCGATTTTGCGTTCCGTTGCCCTGAGCATTGCAACGAATATCTCACTCTACTTTTACAGCAATGCTACTGTGCGTTAAAAGTGTCGTAGCCATTGTGATTACGACGCAAAGGATATTTTTTTTGTTGCACGTCGTGTGTTGGTAACGCAATGATAGCGTAAAATTTCATTGTCGTAGGATTTTTTGTTTTCTTTTATGCAATTAGATTTTGTCGATTTATAATTGCTTTTATTGTATGGAAAAAGTATCGTGTAAGAAAAAACTGGGTAAGAAAAAACGTGTAAGAAAAAATTTTAGATTATGAAGCAACTGTAAATGTTTCTCACAATTTTTGCGATACTTATGTATACTTTATAATTGGATACGAAGCTAATGCGTAGTATAGGGATGTCGTAACGTGTGTAAAGGCTTGTGTAAATTTTATGCCAATGTCCAATGCAAATAAAATTGCGTAAGACTCGTTTTTAGAAGCTTACTTATACAATTTTCAAGTATTTAGCTATTGTACAGAATAAAGCACATAATAATATTTAAAAAAAAACTCAAAATGCTATGTTTGAATATGACTGTTTTGTCATTATTAAGTCATTATATAATTGTATAAAAGTTATATGTATATTTAAACAATTTATAAAGACATAAAGCGAAAAGACATAAAGAGAATTTATAAAGGAAATTTTATGATTTAACAAATAAGTTTTCTAAAATATGTTACAGGATATTAGGTTGAAAATAAATGAGGTGCAAAACAAAAAACTTTTTTTATAGTAATCTGTTTATATATTCTTCGCGTAATTGTATTTACAGGCGCAAATAATAATAATGATAATAATATGAATTTAATAATATTAATAATAATAACAATGCTCATTCTTTCATTCTTTCACGTATTTATATATGTATAACTCTTGTATTACTCATTCCTCGTATACGCGTAATAAGGTACCTATGTATAATATTTATATTTTTGTATGTATATATATTTGTTTAATATTTATATATGTTCATATTTATAAGAGCGAATAAACAAAAAATTTTTTTTNGGGTACCCGAGCACCTACTGTCCACTAGTTTTCTTGTATTCTTGTTATAAGTGATACACGTTTTTTTTTTTTTTTTTTAATTGTATTTATCCATTAATATACTCTTCGATACCACACTCACACTGACGCTCGCGTACATTTAATCGTTCGCTTCGTTTTTTTGATGAAAAAGGAAAGATCCATCGCTCCCGGAGCGATAGTTTTCTCGATAGCATAATATTTATCTCCCTCGCGTTTTCAAATACTGGCTCGATAATTCAAATTAGCGAGTTTGCTAAGTCTATGATTAACCTAGAAAAAGAACTTTAAGGAATCGTATTCTCGTGTTTTCGTATGTGTGTATGTGCGCGGATGTGTGGACAAGACTTGGTATCCGTGAGATTTTTTGTTTGCTCCGTAAACGCAGAGCAGGACCTTGTGTATGCTACCACCAGGTGACGATTTTTGACTTTTTAAAAATTTTTATTTATATGTATATTTTAACAATCATTAATTCGGAGTGTGTGCGCGTTAAAACAGTCAATTCTCCCCTAGTGTCTGGATTCCGCTAATTTTTTTATATTTTCTCGTCGCTTACAATATTACGTTTTAACGGAATTTCACTTGACATTGCATTTTTGCGAGACAACATTTTAGAGTGTAGTCATCTCAGCTAAACATTTTTTTCTCGATAAAAATCCAAGTAGCAATGAACTTACGGAATAAATAAATAACATTGCGATCTCAGCTATAATGTAAATGCTGTTTGTGTTTTTTTCTTTACCTTAATAAAGATTACAATTACAAATAAGCTATACGATTAATTGCGAGTTAACACAACTTAAAAACTTTATATCGAGGTGTCGAAACGCAGTAACCAATAATAAAACTTCCAAAGAAAAAACGAAAGGCCTTTTTTTTATCATTACCTTTTTTTTACTTAAATATCTTTCTAGCTTATAGTCGTTTATTTGACAGTTTAAAAACTATACACACTACAACCGCAGCTCAGCAATAATTTCATTATATTCAATAGTAATACACTTCTTTTGGTGATCTTCAAGTGACGAGACTTTTATAAATCCATTACGAATTCTGTAATTGTCCATCGCAGTTGCCTTTTTTAACTTTTGCACATTGACAAAAATAAATTGTTGATATATAGAGATTAAAATGAAATTGAAAATAAAAGCGGGTTATTTTCAGGTGGAAAAATATCAAAAGATAAATTGGAAGCTAATTTATTGTTGTTGCTTTTTCACGATGGAAAAAGTGATGAAAAAAAAAGTTTTGGTAACGCTTTTTTGTCAATGTATAAATATTACTAACACAGAAAGAAATCAGTAATCAACAATTTTTTTAATTTAATGAAACAATTCTTTTTGTCTATGTGAGAAACAACTGTTATATCAACAACCTATTTGAATGTACCTTCGTGATCATTATTAAATATTGTTGAATGAATATGCAACGTACGAAAAATTAATTTTTTTTTTTAATAGCTTAGTTTAATTGATATAAAAGAGAATTTTAAATGTACGTATACTTAGGCTTCAAAGAGATTCCATAAGTCATAAGTTTTCTATATAATGTCGTAAAATTACTTGTATCCCGGTGGTTTAGTGGTTAACAGTATTAACTAACATGTTTGGAAAGTTAAAATGTCTATAAAGAAAAAAAATTTCAAAAAAAAATAACAGTTACATTAAATTATTTGACAAAAATATATATTTAGTGAATCACTCGAGCGGTACATATTAAAAATAGGTTGGTGAGCAGTGTAGTTTATAGATGAAGCAACGTTGTTTGAAAATGTAATAAGTTCTTTTCACTGTTACAAGTAATAAAAATTATGAGCTGGTCTTATAAAAATATACACTTGATAACTCTGTCACTAAGTAACGGAAATTCCTGAAAATTTTTTCGAATAAATCCTATAATACTTTCTTTCACGTGAGCCTTAATTTTTGTGGTGAACTTGTAATTTTCAATGTGATATCTTCTTGAAATTTTCTTAATCAGATATACAATATTATTATTCATTTTATCAGTATTATTATTCTCTTTACGACAAAGTAGCGAATCGTTTATTTCCCTCGTACATAGAAAAAATTCGAATGAAATATACATTTATCTTGAAAAAAAATTTTCTGTACATAAAAAAAGCGCCATTGAAAAAATTGACCTTTGAATGCTACAAGAACCACAAAAAATACGCATTGACCCACAAGTATGACAAAAAGTATCGTTTCCGAAGCACATCGAAGAATATTTCAATTGCCGAGAGCGCCGACCTACGTCACCCCTGACATCATCGCTTAAAATCGTTAAATATAAACCCTACCGACGGAACGGTTTCTACAACGATCGCATCTCTTTTCCGTTGATGATGACGACAAAAACGACGATAATAGCAGCGATGATGCAAATAATATTAATAATCATGATAATAGCAATGACCATAGTAATAATAATTCGTCTTAAAATTAAAAGTCTTGCTCACGACTGAACTCACAGCAGCTCGACAAAGCACTTGTTGTCTTCGTCGTCTTCCTCCTTGACCTTGTCTCCTATACTATAATAAAGCGCAGGACGCACGTATCACGCTGGCGAGAAGGGCCGGTGGATGTGTGGTTTGGGATTCTGCGGGGGCGGCGTGGCCACCCTGATGAGTCCAACCTGGGGTGTCTGCGTCTGCGGAAGCGCTTGGCCGGTCTGGGCCGACATATGGGCCTGGCTCATGGCCGAGGGCAGCAGCGGCAGCGTTGGTGGACTACTGCGGGACGAAGGCGTGTGTGGGCTAGGGACCGCGACCCTCAGTGGTCCCGTTACCGATAGGTTCGTTGCCACCAATGGGGGAGAGTGCGCAGCTTCTGACAGACTGTCCGATAGCCGTGATATGCCACCGTCCGAGAGCCGTGAGGTCTCGGATATCCGGGATAGTGGCTCCGGGTGCAGCTGGTGCTGAGGATGTGGATGGTGAAGAAGCGTCTCGTGCGGGTAGAGTCTCGGTGGCGGGAGGCCAATTGGCTCGGTCAGTCTGTAAAGTAAGCGACACAAGTTGTGCATCTGTGTCTTCTTAGTTGAAGAAGCTTTCAGTCAAGGGCAGTCTGGACATAAATGCAATTTTAGATACCTTACCAACAGGTTTGAACTTTGTAGCTGTGTCACATTTTTTACTAAAATTTTCTCTGATTTTGTTATGAATTATTTTTGAGAAGGTGAAGAATGAATTTTTTTTTTCAATAAAATCATTCAATAAGTAATGTTATGCATCTAAACGACTGAATTTGTAACAAATAAAACTTTAGTTATGCCCAAACTGCCTTTAATTCATGTGATTTAATATCTAGTTATGAAATAAAACTATTTCTTATCGATGAAATGTATTTTTTTAGTTTTATGTATCAGTTTTGTTATTGTATACACTTATATAATAAGCTCTGTTGTGGACCTATATGTATACATCAGAAAAAAATGTATAAGGTGTAGCTGGTCACACCAATATGCAATCATTAATTGACATTGTTTTGAAATGTAAGTACTCGTAATCTACTTTCATTCTGAAAAAAAAGAAAGGAAATTCAACTCCTGTTGTGTTACATTAAATTTTCTGTTAGTTCTAGCCTTTGAGGTAGCAATACATTTAGTCGATAGATATAATTCTGTTAAATGAAAGAATTTAATCACTTAATTTCTTAACAAACAAGTGCAAAAATACGTATTGCAAATATTTGACAAAAGTAGGTACATACCTTGTACCGAGATCGCCACGCGGGCCAACAGCTTGAAATGGACTGGTTTCCGCGAGCCTGAAGAGACTCCCTCCGGGCTTCGGGTGGTGGTTGTGCTGGGGGCTGTGAGGCGAAAAGCGAAAGCTTTGGGGTGCAAAGCTGAAGCTTGGGGCTGGTGCAAAGCGAAACGAGTACTGGGTTGGGTCAAAGCGGAAGTTGGGTGACGGCGTGGGTATGGGCCCGATGCCACCCGAGCTCAGTGAGCTCACCGGCGATGGCTGCTGGTGGTGGTGCGATGCCGGAGGTGACAAGCTTGGGGACGGTGGCGAGGTCCCGCCTAGCGATATATCCGAGTCCTCGCTGTCACTGCCCGGGCTTGGGCTCAGGGTCCGCGACATGCCACTGTTACCGTTGCCTGATTGTTGCTGCTGTCTGGAATTAGAAGAGAACCAACTGTTGAGTTTTTCGTATTTTCTTTTGCTAATAAAGTTGTTAGTTATAATTAATTCAATGGTGTAATTGGGTGCCATTACAAATATACAACTGTTGGGAAATGGTTTTAAAACTTTGCTGTGTGACTTTTGAGAGTCGTATAACGGTGTACCGCTAATTGAATGATGATGTGAAAATAGTGTGACGTGCTATACGAAGGACGAAAATAAGTAAATGTAAATAAAACCTATGGTTATGTGAATAAGCAATAGTACCACTCGGGAAAAATACACGGCATGGATCCATATTCTAACTCTTGAACAACTGTTAGGCCCATGTGTAAAAACGGAACTTTGGTGAAACGTGGATATTCAACTCGCGATGGATACAAAAAATGTCGTATGCTGAATGTACGTTATTAGCTTGATTATTTGAACGGTTTCAGGTTTTGAATTTTTTTTAAACACATGAATTCAAGAGCAAATGAGATAGATGTAACAGATAAAACAACGTTATACACTTGATAAAGGAAAAAAATTCCTTTAACTTAGAAAGGTGTAATATGAGTGTAATAACATTTACACAATTTTAGTTTGTGATTAATTTTTAATTTATTTTACGTAATATAGTAAATGAATATCTTTCCCTGCATGATTATTCATTTGATTTATAAACATTTAATATTGAAAATTTTTATGAATTTTATAATTTTCAAATTTTTTCATTTCATTATGTGAGTAAATTTTTTAAATATTCTACTACTCTAAAAATTCAACGGTATCATTTAGATAGCTCATATTTTTTCGGAAAAATATGGCATATATTTTCAAAACAAAAGTCCCAACTAAATGCTGTGCGTCGCAGGTTTTTTCTGCTTAATGCCTGCCTGGGCCATAAAATCGTAAGTACCGACACACGCAACAAAGATAAATTAAGCTCTATCGTCCAATCCCTTGGGTCCTACACGACATTCATACGTACAAAACGCGTGCGCTATGAGCACATAATATTCACAGAGCAAAGACACGAAAGGAAATTCTACTTTAATCGAATGACTCGGTGCTTCTTCCTTCACGAAATCTCTCATTGTCACTCGCCTTTCACGTATACACGCACGTAAGTCGACCCATACGTGGGACTCACGGACGATTCATATACGAGGAATAATAATAATAAAAAAAGAATATTCATCTTTAGAAACGCAAGTACACACAAATTCAGGTGGCAGTAGTGGTATTACGGGAGTTGGCTAGCGATGAAAACGTTAATTTTCCTCGTAATGCGACAACGACGGGGTGCCAGAGGAGGAGGAGGAGGAGAAAGGGTAGCAAAGAGTAGAGGCTGATGATTGATGCGCGCGCGCGATTCTTCCTCTACTCCTTCCATACCCCATCGCCCCCCCCCCATATACATATACTGGAGGACCATCTCTGTGCCATAAAGGTTTCATGGCACCCGGTAGCATGCGTGCGCATGCGTCCCCGTTCTCCTTTCTCTGCGTAACTTCACCTTCACCATCACGCAAACGCGTATTGGCGCCATTGCGGATATGGAAATCTCAGCTCTCCGATAAAACTCGGGACCCTTCTTACACACTCTTTGCTCCTTCTACCCTATTCTCTATTTTGAACTCGACTCCCTTCGCTATCTTATTTCTCTTCTCGCGCTCCGTCAGGCCTATTCTTACGGGGAAAATTACGAGAATTGAATGGTGGCTAAATTACGGTGTCAGCGCTCGTGCATAGCCAACGACCGACGCGAACTTTGAAATATTATTCTTACCACTGTGCGTCGTCGTTGGAGGGGCAAGGGGGTGTGGTGGGTATTGCCGCTCAGACGATATTTCTACCCGCCCGGGCGAGAAAGTGCGCGATGAGATGGGGACGATGAATGGTAATTTATAGATTACTCGATGTAGTACGCGTGGGGAAGGAGTCCCTCTTGCAATTCACTGGATTCTTATTCAGCTTTGTGATGCATTATTGCAAATATGATTCATGAATTTTTTGTCACCTTTTACACAAGCGTAAGTTTCCTTATAATCATGTTCAAATTCAGGACTGAACCATAGAAGCCTTCAGTCAGCGAATCAGCTCCTGAGAATATACCACAAGCCATCAGACCAAGTAGTCGTATACACAGACATGGATCCAGAAAGTCAGACAATGATAATGTTCTTTCTTACTTTCTCGCAAAAACGATCGTCTCTGCCAGTACGTTTAGTACGAGCACTGGTTTAAAATGGAACCTTGGCTGGCTGAGACACTGTCTAAATAAGAGGCAAGGTAGCTGAGTACATATATAAGTAGTCAAGTAAAAAGATGAGCAGGAGAAGGACTTGGCTCGTTGGCCAAACAGTCGCGAGCCATTTGCCGGATCGTCCCTGCTCATTTTCAGCTGTACAATATAGCTAATGGGAAGGGAGAGTGCGCATAATGCGCGTGCGAGGCACCCACACCTCCCGCACGACGGATTGCGGGCGTTTCTGCGGCGAGTGTACTAAGTATACGTGGCGTGCTTGCGCACACACTCTGCTGTGCTGCTGCGGCGAATCGATCCTCTCTCATCGAGTTTCTCTCTCTTTCTAGCTTCGCGTATAGGTATATATATCAACTAGGTGGATGTGAGACGTAGGTACCTGTATAGGAGATGCTTGCACGGATGCTCTTTCTGGTCCCCAATATGGCTGCTGCAGCGGCTTTTCATATTTTCCATTTCTTTGACCCATTAAAATCATTCAATATGTTCAAACACTCTTGGTTTTACTGTCCTGATCAATACGCACATCTAATATGGATTTTACGCCATAATGGTTGAATATTATACATCACAACGGAGGAATAAAAAGGTGACTGAACTTTGCGATAAAAAGTTGAGTAACTCGGCTTTAAAATAAATGAAACGTCAGTTTCGTAATAATACGTAAAAAGAGGTGACTGGGTATAGGAAGGTAACATCTTCTGATAAATATTTAATTTTTGCACCAAACATTAAATATTAACCTCCTAATGTCAGGTTAGCCTTTTCTTCATCGAAGAGCTGAATCTTAATCCTCGCTAATAGTTGACTTATCTTCCTGTTACAATATCGATATGCCACCAATTTAACAAGAAAACTATACTCAAGTGCTTGGTGGCGTCAAAGTCGTATAGTATTAAGCGCTAAATCATAAGGAGATATTTATTGCGTGTCAATTTTACTATCACCCCCATGTACACCTATTACAAGCACCCAAACGATCCTCAAAACGGACCGAAAAGGTAGTGGGGAACAATGGCGAAAGAGTGTTATTGAGACTCCGAAATCCAGAGGCGAGTGAGTAGCACTCGCCAAGTACAGCGTATAAGTAAGTACTCTTAAAGAACATAAGGAGCAAAAGCACCAGAGAAAGATAAAGAAAAAGATGAAGAAGAAGAAGAGGAGGAGGAGGCAAGTTAAACAGGAGGAGGAGGATAAAGAGCGCCCTGGAAGCTTGGCAGCTGTCAATCTGTTTTCGCGCCAAAAGGAGATCCTTACGATGAAAGGCGGCAGCGGTAGCGTATAGCAGCGATGTAATTTGAACGAACGCCACCCACCCCCACGTTCCTTCTTCTCTCTTTCTTCTCTTTGCAGGCCCGGCAGCTCCCGGTAATCGAACCCCCACACCAGGTACACCTTGGCTCTCTTTCGCTTCCCTCCTCTTTCTTGCACACTTACGTTTGGCAGCACACCCTGGAAAGTAATAATATTCCAACGCGTTTTAATTATGCCTACATATATACACACATACACGCTCGTACCATCCTTCTTTGTCTCACTATTTCTCTCTTCTTTTTCTTTTCACTTCGCCCTTCAACACTCTGCTTTCGATCTAGACCCCGAGAGGGAATGCCATTGTTGGGAGAAGAACTGTGCCCCTATAAAAATCCAGAGCCCAAGTATTATTATTACAGCGTGCTACTGCGATTAGGTGCTGCTCTCCTTTCTTTCGGGCGTACAACAACAGCCATATACTCATTTCTTTTTTCACTGTACCTTGTCGCGGTTATTAACACCTAATTAAGCCAGCGCCTTTCAGTGTCACACAATGGGGGCGGCGCGCTCTAAGGATCCGCTTTGCTTTTCTTTTTCTCCTTTTTCGTGCATGCGAACCTACGGATAAAGTGGGCTATGAGCAGAGCAAAGTGTATTTTTCTGTGTCTGTGATGCGGTACGTCGAGCTCGTTCCTTGTTACATTGTCCTCGCTACTTGATTTCGATTCCTTTTTGTCCAAATAGAATTAGTGCTATGGCTTTTGTTTGCGAGCCGAGCTAGTCTCGCGCAGTGTTTTGCTGTCAAGAGCAATTACATCGCAAGGTTCATAATTACTTTGGTTTCTTGGATCGTGTTCTCGATGGAAGTTTTTGAAACTACCCAGTTGCAGCTTTTGTAAAATATTATACTAAAAAGAGAAGGGTTTTAGATTAAGATTAAGTTGGTGGCTTCATTCATTGTCACGCGTACTTGACAACGCGCTATTTTTACATTTTGTAATTTCACAGCTACTTCCATGTTGTGTTGTATAAAAAGGATGACACGTCCAGGTGTGAGCAAGGAGGAAAAGAAATTTAAGTTCAGGTGCAAAAAAGCATAAGGCTCCTGAAGTGTTGAGCGGGATAGCGCACAAACATTTTACTTGTCGAATGACGCGTCACTTTTGAAAAAAGTAGTTAGGGCTGGGGACCGGTGCTTCTTCTTATTCTTCTTTTTTTCCTCCAAGTGCAATTAATTATACAAAAAGCGTAAGAAAAGTAAGTTCTCGTAATGACGTTGAAGTCGTTTTTCGACGTGAAAATAAACAGACTGGAAAAATTTTTCAATGTATTTTAAATGCTGACTGTCAATAATTAGCGTTTCTTATTAAGGTATATTTTTATGGTAGAAATGGCAGCGTTTGTTAAGAATTTAATTAAAACGCGTTTTTGCATACATTAGCGTGATTTTCTGTGAATAACAAAATCTGTCAATAAGAGAAAGTAGA